ATAAACTTGCTTGCAACAATTTTATCATTCAGAAATAGAATATTTTAATTTCAGGAAGAAAGAAATAATTATATGATTGCTCTCTCTTAATGGTACTTTCATTTGATTAGGTCTAGACTTCCAATAGTTGTTTTTTGACAGTCACTTTATGCAGTAAAGGAAAAGCTTCTCTATTTTTTGGAATATTTTTCTATCATTTTTGAACTTATTGCAATGACCTTGAAATGCTGTCAAGTCAATGGAGGCCTTTGAACAACTTCTGACACTCTTGATTACAGTATTCAGGTTGGATGATGAACATGTCTTCTTGTGAAACAACTTTTGTCCCACATGCAACAGGGCCAGATTCTTTGTAGAGTACCAGTGCTCGTTAAATTGGTTGTTTGTTTAAATAGAACCTGGTTGTCATGACTTGGATGTTCCCGTGATAATGTAAGTGAGTGACTGAGATGTACTGCTAATGGAGTTCATGTACAATGTACTTTGAAATCAACTTTTCCAAAGTCCATGGAGTTTGGTATCAAAACCACAGGTTATCAAACCATCTTTGGTCAGACTAGATGAGTCAAAGTCATATGATTTTTGTTGCACTTAACTTGGAAATTTCCTCGTACTGAATCAAGTTGTGTATTTGTAACTCTGAAGTTTCACCATGAATTCRCTGCTGCTGATTGTACTTTTAGTGGCTTCAGGTAAAGTCATTTGTGTTCCGGGCGAACTACAAGTCTTTGAAACTTATAAATTTTTTGCAATTAATTTATTGTACACAATAAAGCTTAATCACAAGAGAATTCCATTGTTTTGTCAGGCACTTCACTGCCCAAGCTAATGTCGTTGTAACGTTTTCAAAGTTTAGTTGTTTTTAAGTTGATTTATTCTCCTTTTGTTCAGCTTTTTGTCTCTTATGAATGTTTATTGAAAGATTTTGCTTTAACTGTTGTGCAAATTYGTTGTGTGTTAGGTTTTGATGAGTCGTGCATTGTTTTTATATTATATGGAAATTAAAGCTTAGTTGTTGTGAAATTGAAATTGTAATGCCAATACCTTTAATAACGTAATAAAACATCCAAAAAACAAATCAAATTTTATTTTACAGGTGTACTTTGTATGCCTTATTGTTGGCATCTTTTGTACTTTGTCCCTGGATGGCATATACAAGCGGCTTTCTGCTTTTTGTTTTTTATGTCTTTGTGATTACATTTCTCAGTGAATGCAGGATCATTCAAAGTTGGTATCATCAAGTGTGCATTTGGACCATCATATTGGTGCAAGAACTACAAGCAGGCTGCAGAATGTGATGCCATCCAACACTGCAAAGAGAAAGTCTGGAAGCTAAAAGTTTCAAATGTCTTTTTAATGGTGGTAAAGGTAAAAGTAGTGCCATTAAAGAAAKAAATAAATGTAGACTTATGTTTAAACAAAATTCCAATTATGGTTTATAAAAGATTTTCTTCCTCTTCAAGGACCCTTGCACTAAGTGCGAAGATGTAGTGACTGTTTTGAAAAATAAACTGACAAATCCTACTTTCCAAGTAAGTTGTATAGACCCTGTTAATGATACAGGGGTTGTAAACTTGCAGGTGCATGCACCTTTTTAGTGTGCCAACTGCAATATGAAGGTTTTTCCCCACTTGACTCCCACCTTACTCTTCTGGAGACATAATGTCTTCCAATATTAGTTGATGTTATGTTAGAAATCTAACATGTTTAAAGAATCCTAACCAACCACAATACAGCGCACGCTCGTGTTATTGTTTACATACGTTTAAATGCGTCAAGCATGTAATAAATTTTTGATTGATAGTAGGTCTGTGAGGTACTATAGTTAATGTTATGTCAAAACTGAAATGATGGAAGATGATTCGCGCACTCACTTTACGAAATCCTATGAATCTGCCATTTTCGTGTCCACCTAAAACGGCGATTTGTCTCGCAAGGTACGGCGGCTGGTTGTGATTCTTTAAGTTTATTTTATTAGTAATAATTTATATTTATCCAAGTTTATTGTTTATGATTAACCCCATTTCTTTAAAATTAAAAAATATTCAACATATTTTGTATTCAGAAAAAAATATTGGCAAAATTGGAAGAAGTATGTACAAGGTTGGGTGCCCAGCTTGCACCTAAATGCAAAGCATTCATTGAGAATTTTTTCAAAGAATTAAATGAGTTACTGGTAAGAAAGCATAATTTGCTGAAAAAAAAGCTAGCATAGAAAATGCATGTTGAAACACAGGCATTTACAATGTACTGTTTCAGTCTGACCCAAAGAAAGTTTGTACTAAACTTGGTTTGTGCAAAGCATCAAAGGAAAAGATAATGGYRGTGTTGCTGGAGAAGGCTATTGCTGATAAGATGAAGTCTTTCAAAGGAATTGCTATGAAGAAACCKACACTACCATGTATTCTTTGTGAATTCATTGCTTGGAAATTGGATAAGACCTTGACCAAGAATGGTACTGAAGTAAGTTCATYAAACTTTATCTGCCCATGCACCTACATACAGGCCTCACCTGAGAAGAGAAAATGAACTAATTATAGGAAATAGGGAGAGAACACATATGCTAATAAAACAGGAATTGATAGTTGGTCTATAACTATGTTTTAACTTTTTTTAATTTTCTCTTTAAAAATCAAAAATTTCAACATATTTTGTATTCAGCAGGAAATCATATTGGCATTGGAAGGAATATGTGAGATATTYACAGGTCCCCCTGAACGTGAATGCAAAGTGATTATTGAGAAAAAAGTACAAGCTTTTTTCAAGTTCCTGGTAAGAAAGCTTTTAATTTGTTTTATTACACATCATTGCATGTATTTGACTAGAATAAAGTCATTCACACACCCAGGGATGGGGGGGGGGGACATCAAAACCCTGATCCTGTTCCAGAGTGAAATCGCTGAAAACGATACCCAGTTCCAGAGTAAAATCGCTGAAAACGATACCCAGTTCCAGAGTAAAATCGCTGAAAATGATACCCTGGTTGGCGGCACGTCCCTGTATAGCGGGTTCACACACTAAAAGCTTAATAGCATAGATATTGCATTGACCAAAGACATCTGTTTCAGTCGCAACCAAAGAAAGTTTGTACTAAGCTTGGTTTGTGCAAGGCAAAGGAAAATATAATGGAGGTGTTGCAGAAGGCAGTTGCTGCAGATAAGATGAAGTCTTACAAAGGAAGAAACATGGCTCCAGAAATCTCCCAAAATCAATTCCAGTCTGGGAATTCCAGGCAGAGTGTATATTCTTTGTGAAGTTCATATTGCTGGAAACCGGATCAGAAATAAAGATTTTAATTTAACTGGAAGAAATTTAGAAATAATTAAATAATGATTCCCCTTTCTGTGATTAAAATTACTTCCATATGATTCTAAGGTCTAGTATAGCTCCCAATAGTTCTTTTTGACAGTTAGCTGTGCACTTTATGCAGTTAGGGAAAGCATTTTCCTTTTTTGGATTAATTTTCTATCATTGCAGTTGACCTTGAAACACGTTAAATGATGAACATGTCTTCTCATYCCTGAACGAACTTGGGAAACAACTTTTTGTCCCACATGCAATAGGGCTGGATTCTTTATAGAGTACCAGCTCGTTAGATACTTGATTGGTTGTTTGGAACCTGGTTGTCATGACTGCGGGTGTCATTGCAAGTGAACTGGGACTGATGTAATGCTTGGAGTACTTTGAAATCAATTTTTTCAGGGTCCATGGACTTTGAAAAAAAATTAAAACTATACTTTCAAGCACGCACTCGTGGGATTTCAAGGTACAGTGCACTTGGTTCAACTTGTGAATTATAAAAAGAGTTTGAGATTTGATATTTTTAATTATTTTTTAGTAAATTCACACAGGAAATGCAATATATAAGCTTGCACGAAAATGTATGCACTGTTATTATTATATCCCGAATAAAGACTTGAAATTAAATTCACAAAAGCGGTTGAGCGTTGTCTATTTCCGGTATGAAAATCGTTCTATTTCCGGTATCAAAACCACAGGTAACCCATCTTGTTGAGAGTAGATGAGTCAAACTCACGTGATTATATTGTTGAACGATTGTTGTTGAACACATTTTCTCGTACTACWGGATCAAGTTTCTGACTTTTCACCATGAATTCACTGCTGATTGTACTTTTAGTGGCTTCAGGTAAAGTTTTTGGTATTCCGTGTGAACAACAAATCTTTAAACCTTATAGATTTTTGCAATTTAAGCTTTTTTATTGTGCATAATACGCCAAGTCACGAGACAATCATCATGTTACATGTTTTGTCAGGCACCTTACTGCCGTTGTAAAGTTTTCAAAGTTTAATTGTTTTTATATTGGTATATTCTCCTCTTTTTGTTCAGCTTTTAGTCTCTTTTACGAGAGTTTATTGAAAGATTTAAACTTTACTGTTAAATTGTGCAAATTCATCATGTGTACATCGATGGGCCTGCATTTTAATAACTTGAGCTTAGTTTCTTTGTGAAGTAGTAGAGTTATATAGATAAGCTCATTGTTGTAAAGGTGAAAATGTAATTCTAAATTTGACTTTTACTTAACTAATCCAATAAGAAATATATTTTGTTCAGTGTTAGAGATACCTCATTGTTGACATGTAGCTTCCTGTCACTCTCTATTGATATAATCAAACAGGCAGCTGTCTGCTAATATTCATTATTTATTTAAGAAATAAAAGACGAAATTCCGTGTTTGATACTCTGATCAAAACACGCGGGATGTAGGGAGAGCACGAGAGAAGCGTAGGAAACCACGAAAAGAAAAAAAGAAATTTTTGACGCGCGCGAGCATGTTTTGATACTGTAATCAAACATGGTTTTCGACCAATCACAGCGCGCGTAGTATCCTAAATATTTTAGAATATATTTTTAATAGCACTTTGTGATAACATTTCAGTGAATGCAGGATCATTCAAAGTTGGTAACATCAAGTGTACATATGGACCATCATATTGGTGTGAGAACTACAAGCAAGCTGCGGAATGTGATGCCATTCAACACTGCAAAGAGAAAGTCTGGAAACAAAAAATAGTGCCATTAAAGAAAGTCGATATAAAGGTAGGCTATGTTTCAAGAAAATTCCAATTATACAATGGTTACTACAGTTTTTTCTTCTTTTTCTGTACTTGCAATTGAATGATGAAATGTATAAATTGATAATTAATGAATTTTAATCTCTTCAAGGTCACTTGCACTGAGTGCAAACTTGCTGTAGATGGTTTTAGAATCCAACTGGCAAATCCTGCTTTCCAAGTAAGTTGAAGAATCTGTTAATGATATAGGGGGGTATAAACTATGGTCACTATAAATTTTTAAATAAACCCAATTTATGAACCCTGCCTCACTCTACTGGAGACATAGCGTTTGATGTGATGTTAAAAGTATAGCATGTTTAAGTTTATTTTTTTATTTATATTAGTTTCGCTCAATATATCAATTTACAAAAATATTATATAAGAGGCAGGGATAGGCAGGGAAATATACTATTAATATTTGTCTATAAATGGAGGTCCTTAGGTAAAGATCCAAATTTATCTGAATCCTTCTTAATCTTTCTTCTGCAATCACACAGTATTAATTCARCATATTTTTTATTCAGAAAGAAATATTGGCAAAATTGGAAGGAGTATGTGTGAGGTTTTCTGCCCTTGCACCTGAATGCAGAGCATTGATTGAAAAAAATGCACCACTTATTTTCAAAGAATTAATAAAGATGCTGGTAAGAAAACTTAATTTGTTGTTACACATTATATTTGACTAGAATAAAGTAGTTCATCTGTTAAGGATGAAATTTCATGACAAATGGTCATTCACACACAAAGAGCTATAGCATAGAAATGCATGCTGATCAATCAAGGTACAAAATGTATATGTTTCAGAATGACTCAACGAAGGTTTGTACTGAGCTTGGTTTGTGCAAGGCTTCAAAGGAAAAGATAATGGCTGTGTTGCTGGAGAAGGCTATTGCTGATAAGATGAAATCTTTCAAGGGAATTGTTATGAAGACACATGCCTCTAGAGATCCCCCAAAATCAATTCCAGTTAAGGCATCAGCTGAGTGCATTCTCTGTGAATTCATTGCTTCTAAACTGGATCAGACCCTGACTAAGAATTCTACTGAAGTGAGTAATTAAGGAAAGAGGGAGGGAAAGTATACTTAATAAAACAGTCAAAAGATTCTAAGTTATAAGTACCAAAATAAGGAAATTTCAAGTGTTTTCTGTTAGATGATAATGCATGCATGATTTCTGACAGTGATGTTTATACTGTATCATAATTTGCAGAAAGAAATCGAAGATGCTGTAAAGAATGTTTGCAGGTTGCTTCCAGCAACCATTGAAGATGAGGTATTTGACTGTATAGTATTTAATTATTCTGATGCATGTACAGTGGTTGTCCATACAATTGGTAATACTTTATTACTGGTATTTTTTTTTTTTTGAGAAAATGATGTAGCATCACTGTCTATYGTTTTGTAACTATCCAGTTTAACTTGCAATTGCAGTCCTATAGGTGTCACCATCATAATTATGTCCCCTATTGAACCATTAGTGTCCTTGGGGTACTCATGCATGGAACTCATTGCCCAGCACAGTTTTACTTTTGTTCATATATAATTCCATCCTAGAGCGGATTTYGTATGAGTGGGACACCGTTACCGCACGGTTACCGCACAGTTACYGGACCTGGCCTGCAAAATTTTGAATCAATGGGGCACTAGAATTTGGTTACAGTACGATTACGGTCATAGTACAGTACCGTCCGTTTCCCACTCATACGAAATCCGCTCTAATCTTTCAGGCATCTGTACATCACAATGATTTTATTCACTGCATACACTTCCAAGCAGATCTTGATGTTCTACAATTTTTTAAGAAAAATTTAATGTTTTTTTAGTGCACCAAGTTTGTTCAAGAGTACTCTGCTGAGATCATTCAACTTCTGGCCCAAGAACTCCAACCAAAAATGCTTTGCACAGCTTTGGGACTGTGTACCTCAAAAAGGATGAAAACATTGAAAAGCAATGGTGAAATTTGTGACATCTGTACAACAGTTCTTACATATTTCAAGAATCTACTGCAAGACAACACCACTGAGGTAGCTAGGATGTAGTGCATTTTGTTGATTGTTAATATTGGGAGAGTTCTATTTTAACTCTCAGTAAATAGGTTTTTGATTTAAACCATTCATTTAATATCTTCACTATTAAATGGTGTTCTAGGGAGAAATTGTTGATGGACTCAAGGAACTTTGCGGTTACCTTCCTGAGCAAATTAAAAGTCAAGTAAGGTGGAATATACATGTCTTCCTTGATTAGACATGATTTGAATTAAAAATATACTGGTACATAAATTTTCCTTAGTGTAAGATGTCATTGTTGGTATACATTTCAGTGTACTGCTGCTGTAAGTCAATATGGGATGGCACTCTTGAAGCTAATTGCCTCTTCTGACCCAAAGACCTTGTGCTCTGTAAGTATAAACATGATGTTTCAGCCCTTGACAATCTAGACAATTATATCACTCAAAAACCAGTGCAAAAAGACACACTCCCAAGGCAAAGTTTTGAGCAGAGTTTTTCCTATAATATTTCCATTGTAAACTCTGGGCTGACAGTAATTTGATTGCTGAGTAATGTTAAGTATGCATCGAAATTTACTGATCCAAGGCCTGTATAATCGCATATCATAACACCACTGACCCCTCAGTATTGGATATGAGCAGTCAATATCTACTAGTTATGTGATCAATCTCTTTCTTTATCTGCAGGATGTTGGTCTTTGTACTTCAAAAGTGAAGAAAATACATGATGCTGCATTGAAAGATAAATGTTACTTTGGTGTATCGTACTGGTGTGCAAGCCATGCAAATGCCATTGCGTGTAAAGTGAGTTCACTGTTTCATATCAGGAATGGAAGATCAGTTCAATCTGTGTTATAAACATTTTTAATCTTGCCATGTTATATGTACTGTACCCTTCAAGTTAACATGGTTTCTTTTCCTCATGACTGATAATATTTAGACGTACTTCCAATCGCCAATAAAATACATTTTATAACAGTTTGATTTATTTTTTTTCTTTTTGTATATTCATTTCAGAAAACAGCATACTGCCTGAAATATGGATGGTTGCAAAAGCAATGATCATAATGGAGACTACATAATTAACGCACTAATAATAGTAATATGACATCTTTTAGACATTCTACCACTCTACTAAACAATATTGCTAACTGTCATTGCAATCCAATTGGGTACCCCCAAGGACAAGCATTTGTAATGAAAATATTATAGGCACTCACATATTATAGGCACTCACACATTATAGGTTCATAAGTATTAATTGTATTAATGCAGCATAGAGAAGCCCTGGGAAATGACATTAAGAGTGCTTTGCTGACTTTCTTTTCTTATTAACATAATAAGTTTTAATGCAAGTGTTTGACTAATCGTTTCTTCAAAAAAAATACAAATCTGAACGAGATAAAAAGAAAAAATGGTAAAATTATCCAATATATATTTTACACAGGAACCCCAACAGGCAGTCAACAACGTGAGGAAGCTTTTGTTGAATTTTTTTATAAAGTATATAATGTAATGTATGATGCATAGTGGCTAATAAAGAAATACAATAAAAATCAATGTATTATGCTTACTCTTTTGATTTACTAGCAACAATTAAAAAATGTATTTACATGACAACAACCTTGCACCTTGCTTCCGGTATGCTCACCACAGGAAGCCCATCAGGTCTATTCCATCAAATCACTAACGACTAGAGAAAAACGGTAAACATTGAAACACAGGGCACAAAAAGATATTGGTGTGAGGGAAAATTGCATTTCTTTTTCTATTTTACCTTTCATTTTCAGCGCAATTTGAAACGGTTGCTTATGACGACTTTCATTTCAAATCGAAATTATTTCCTTGCAGACGACAAGATTTTAATTGAATATGTTAATAAAATCCTATTTTTTGCTGCCGAAATAAAAAATAAAGTGAAATGTGCAACAGTTTTTCACGTTTCCCAGTTTCGATGTCGTCGTTCTTTATCCAATAGCAATAGTGAGACCCCCCTCTAGACCGAAATTGTAAATCAACTCATAGTAACAAGAATAGATCGCTTAATCAATGAAAACTGCATAATCAACAGGCCCTCAAAATTATCTTTATCAACAAGAAATAGATCATTTCTGGTGATTTTATGTATTTTTATCATACTGGTTATTTTTAGAAAAATGTATGCTTATTTTACTTTTTTTCTGGAAATATAATTGTGTTTTTTGATGGCGGTAAATGATCGTAATGTAGATTCTCCTAACATTCAGTTCTGAGCGCTTTAGTCAGTTTAGATCTCGTGTTGAAGGGAAATTTTGTCCTCCGTTTATGAATGCAACGAATGAGTGTTATTAAAAATGATAGCATTTGGAGGCAAACTGGCTATATTGTGAGCTCTAAACTATTCTATATTATCAACAAGGAATCAAGGAAAACTCGTAATTGCTCAAATCAACCAAACTCTTTGCACATACGAAGATACGAGGCCATAAAAATCGTCTTTGGATATCTCCCATTGGTGTTCTCGTGGTAGAGTGATTTGGTCCAGCTTTTGGATTTTTGACGTGTTTCATCTTGAACGTTTCTGCCAAAGTTTACTTGGACGATAGCTGCTGTTTTTATGGGACTATCTGAGGGCATTGATTTGCCTTTCTTGGAGTTCTTGCTGGTATTTATCATGTTTTATGTAGGACTCTGATGTAATGCAGTTATCAACAATGGCCGCTCATCAAGCCAGTCTTCACTTCTGGCTTTAGTTTTGTGAAAATTTCCAACATATATAGTGTACAGTTGTCGGATTTCTCGAGAGGAACACATTATCAAGATTATCGAGTTGTATATACGTCGACAAGAGGTGGTATTTTGGGGTTATTAAACGTATTTTGACACTGTTCTATGGAGATACTGCTTTGCGTGATTGGCGGACAGGCTTGAAAGACTAGAAATTCAAAACTCCCACCATTTTTGAAAGCGTTCGTAACTTTGTATTTGCAAAGGGGATAACAAGGATTTCCTGGAAAATGTTTCATCCATTGCACTTTCGAAAAACTGCAAAGGAGTTAGGAATGGATGCAGGATTGTATGAAAGAGAATACAATCATTTTTTGGCCAAATTGAAGAAGTTTCACGAATCTAAAGGGTAAGATCTCTCACCAATACATTAAATCAGGGTTTTTCGCTTGATATGTTTCGGTAAATGACCAGGAAATGTAACCATTAACCTCCTTGGGTATAATTCTCTTGATTAGATCGCCTTTTCGAAGGCTGCCATGGCTTGGAGGACAGTTTTTGGACTTGTACCTTCTTTACAAAAAAGTCACTTCATTTGGTGGATGGATCAAGGTATATCCTACTCTCGCCTGTTGTAACCAAGTAATTACTCAAAAATCTGTGTTCATAGAGCTGTATATAATTGCTTTTTCTTGTCGAACTTCAAGGTAACAGAAGACAAACGTTGGAGAGACATTGCTGAAGTTTTCAATCTGCCTTCTACATGCACAAATGCAGCTTTCGCACTCAGACAACACTATTCAAGGTAAAACGTTTTTGCCTTCCAGTTTCATTTTTAGATTCAATTGATCACTTGACTAGTAGATTGCACAGTTCTTGAAGTGTTCTTGATGTATTTTTGGGTTTTATAGCGCCGTAATTGTAATTGAAAACATGTTAAAGGAAGTAGGGGCGAAAGTCGTTTACATATATCTCTGTTTCCATTTTTGGATCAGATTTTCTCAGCTGTGAGCGAATCACTGGCAGGAAATATGCGATAACTTTTATTCATCTTTTTGCTTTTAAGAATACACGTTTCCTGATTGTCGTTTAACATTTTATTTGTCATATTAAATATCTTGGAAATGTTATCTGTCGAAATCCTTTGTCTTTTTGTATGTTTTGTGTCCATTACGATTTTGTTTTTAAAGATCTCTGGTCAGATAGGAAACTGTTCAACTGCAAAACTAATTATTAAATGTTCAATTGTTTTAATTCTGTCGATCAGTAAAGCATAAAATGATAGTATTTCATTTTATTCGTATTCTATGTTAGTGTTCTTTGTTTGTCGTTAACCTGTTACAGATATGTCTATTGCTCCAAAAATCACATCAAAACAAAGTTGAAACACGATCTCCTTCTTAAATCTAACCTTACGTCATACTATTCTATATATTTCAACGACCTTGATATAACTCTAGTTTTTTTTACAAAGATATATCTTTTTGTTGTTCTTTATTCAACGGTAAAACGTGTCTTTTTGAGTGTTCCATTGTGAAAGACTATAGTACCTTGTTCATTGCATTCCATTTTTAAAAGGTTGTCAGGGTGATAAAAACTGTATTCCTGTTTAGATACTTGTACAAAAGTTGACATCTAAGAACATCTACTTATAAATTGTACATGTACCTGTAAAAATGCCTTGTAGAAATTCAATTATTTTTGCATTGAAGAGTGAAAATGAAATAATAACTTTAAATTTACATAACATGATGTCTATGATATATCATCTTCATCATTCCTCTAGTTTATTGGCACTAACAACATTTACGTATGAAATGTTTATTTTTGTTTTTGATTTGATTTTTATTGATTTGTATTTGTTTGTSAATTTGTTATGAAAGCATTATCCCACTTTTAACAAACTTTTACTTGAATTATTTGACAGGAGTTCTGGGCTAACAGTTTTTTATCCATTACTATAAATTGATATTTTATATTGCTTATAAACATTTCATTTTAAAGTTCAAGTATTTTGGGGAGCTGTTTACATGTATCTGTATTTTTTATATATTTCAATAAACTTGACCTCTGGAGGAAGAAACCTCTGTTTTGTCTTAAAAAGTAGTTACAGTAATGTTTATTTGATCATTGGGTTGTAGTCTCTTGTAATGTGTCAAGTTCTATCTGATAAACAAATAGATTTAAAACCTTCTGTAATTGATCTTTTTTTTTATATTCTCAGTATTCTATGTATTACACATAATATTTATATGTTGTCATTTCATATCAGATATTTAGAGACTTTTGAAAGAATCAACTTTTTTGGTGAAGATGCAGAAGATGTAATGAGTGGCAGTAGACCACACACTCCTGTTAGTGCTCTTCCCATTACTAGTCCTTCTGGTAAGATATCATACTCTCTTATGGTACTATTACAGATTGTAGCTTAAAATAGGGACATTTGCTTTGATGAATATTGGGAGACAAGTATCATATAAATCTTGCACTTGTTGTAAAACTCTCTTATAAAACTGAGCTGGCAAACTTTTTAGCTAAATAATAATGCTACAACATGTAAAGTGACTGGATTCTCTTACAAGTTCCACTAGAAATTTAAGTGTGTAACCATGTGTGGATATTACTTCCTACTGACCTTCATCTTCAAGTCCATAATCAGAGTGTCTATACATACCTGTACCAGCTGTATAGTACATGTACAACGGGTGATATTTTATTAGGCTTCAACACTCCAAAACATCGTTATTCAAGGAGTTTTATTGATAATAACATTGTAATGTTGAAATGATTGAGCAACCTTAAAGTTGTCCATTCTTGTGTGCTATAGTGACTCTAGTCACAATGATAACTATGCCAATTCCCAGATATCCTTTGGATGGAAACAATAAAATTAGGCAGTTTTTATGCTTGTTGCTTGCAAAGGGAAGTGCGAAAGTCTCCTTCACAGTTGTACATGGTGTCTAGGTTCCTGTTCCTAATAGAGATTTTGCTCAGACAGCTAGTCCATTGTGTAGTTTTGTTATTAGAGTAAAATGTTCTAACAAAAAATGTTTGCCTCATGCAATAGTCAGTACTTATTCAAAGTTATGCTCATTGTGAGAGATACCACTATATTTTCTGGGGTTGGCCATGATTTAGCCCACAGCATTTTACTGATGATTCAATTATAATATCTGGTAACACAGGGTTCCCATTCCCAAATAAGATTAGTATTGCTGCATGCTCACTTGCTCACTTAGCAAAAAATTCTAACTTTTACCTTTTTTATTTTTCAGAATATGTCAGCCCATCTCCTGTGGGTAAGTGAATGGCATGCTATATTATATTGATGTTGCAATGAATAAAACTACAGACATTTATTAGGCTAGCCCTATTGAAAATATTGCTTGATACTCTAATTATTACTACCTCAGCTATCTCAACACTTTAGTAACTTACCAGTATATTGTGTTCTGCCTGTTTTGTAAGCTGTATGGGTTATATAATCATGTAAAGTCCACCTAAAAGGGCTCAAAATGTCAGATATCATTAACTCCATGACCTTAGTGATAAGGATTACTTAGAAAATGTAATAAGTTGAAAGTTTATTTCTGAATAATATTTAGTGAATAATTGTCATCGCCATTAATTAGTTAGTGATGGATATTGTACTAGGCAAGGCTCTTAATAAAATAATTGAAATTATATAATACTCCTTTGTAAAAGGAATGCTTTCAGTAACAGCTGTCATTTTACAATAAGCAGTTTATTTTATCATCTAGATTAATTAGTATTGTGGTTTTGACAGACTTGATTCATTCTTAAAAAATGAACACATGTTGACTTGTAATCCAATAATAGACACCATCATAATGACAAATTGAATTATAGTTTTTTAGTTCATTTATATATAAGAATATTAACTGTCAACTATGCAAATTATGTACAGGCAAGGTTATAGTATATACATTGTCATTTTACGCTGTGCTATTCTCTTTTGTATTATTATATTGTTTTATAATCGTTGATGTCTTTTTTCTGTATTCATTCATTTTTTTTCTTGCTTTACTCATTTTACCTTTTCATTTCATATTTATTTATTTATTTATTTACATCCACACAATATATGTTGGACCAGGATATTTTTGACATTTTAGCACAGTTTGGAACTCAAATACTAACATTAAATATAACTGAAATTTTCAGCCTTGAAGTGTTATGCTAATATGTGATCCATGTTTTACCAGATATCACAAGAAATTTTGAGAAGTTAGTGCTATCACTACAATGTGGTTTACCCAATGAAGTGGACTTTGGTATCAACATTTGTATGCTGTTATCCAATGTTAATAATTCTGTCTTTAATCTCACCAAGGTAATGGAAAAATAATTGTCACTAAAATAAAAATAGCAACAATGTGAAATCAATGTTAGATTTGAAGATAAATTTGGACCATTAAGCTACACATACTTTATTTTTTTTTAATGGTAGAGCAGCAGTTTTTGATTTGTAGAATTTTTTTTTTGAGTAATATCCTTTTCTTGATTAGTATTTTATACTTTAGGTCTGCACAATATTGTTTTATTCTTTAAGTTATCCCTCAGTAACTTCCAATGCTTTGTT